TAATCCGGGTATTTATACTTTGGGTAGTCATATGACAGCAATTTCTATCCGTTGTTGCGAATAATTTTTTTCATGGTACAATCTGCCTTGTATGTAGTTACTGTAGCCGAATGATAATGTTTCCCTTTTGGGTAAAGATCTAAATATGTGGTGGTTTTGAACCACGGATAGTGGTTTGGATTGGTCCAAGACAGCCGATATTGATTTGGGACCCAGAAATTTGGTTTCGAACCATCATGATTTGAAATGTATAAATACGACGACTAAGCTAATAAAGAACAACACTTTTGCTCCGACTAAAAACTAAATAAGGTAAATACGTACCCCATACGAAAAACCATCATCATAAAATACGTAAGACCCCACGATAACCTTAAAAACCCGTTATATCCTCAATTAAGTGTGTCGCTGCCCGTATCGTTCCACTCTGCAACTGAATTTCGACCCTAATAATTCCAGATCGACTGCATAGCCTAAATTCTGGATAGATCGACAACTTTAAACCTTATGGCGCATACTTAATTCTTCACACGACCTCAATGAAAGAACCATTGTTATGCGCCCTATAGAAAAGTACTACTAACTGACACACCTTCCTCTACATCCTGTAACACAGGTTTATGTTTGTGACCCTGAGCTAATCGACGTCGCAGTAAGAGAGTCTCTCCCACAGTTACAATGCTGTGTCTAATCCCTAAAATCAATGACTATAACGAATGCAAATTCGAATAGTAATTTTGGCCGCACAACACTGGAATGTCATGCCTAAATTTTTAAAACCTATTAAGCATTCATAATATTTTAAATAATTTGATTGGCTAAACCAAAATTAGTATCTAAATTTATTAATCTTGAGATCAAAGTGTCAATTATAATACAAGAGATCCTATGATATAGTATAGGCATCGTTGTGGGTAAAAAATGTCTGTCGCTCGATGTCCAGAAGTTCCCGTACTATAAATATTCCAAACAAATCAAAAATGGTCGGGGTAAGCCAAAGGAGTCACAGATTTGGTCGTGATTTTATTAAAATAAAAATAATAATAAATAAATAATCCGTAGGCGTGAATATTCCAAAATAGGGTGCATACTCATATCCATATTCGGATGTTCCTGACCTTAAGTGCACATATAGATCATAGATTATGCATTTAAGAAGATTCAAAATTAGGTAATTATTCCAAAATACGTACGTTACGCACACACGGTCATACTCGAAATAATTAGCAGGTGGGCGTTATTTTTTTTATTTTTTTTTAAGCATGGCATGCATAAAAAAAAAGATAACCGAGTACAATGTATAAAATTGCGAATAATTTTTCCAGTACTAAAAATAATGATACTCATGTAACATAAAGCCATGCATTTTTTATGTGTTAGTACCCAGGCTAGGGCGTTAACGTTAATCCGTTTTATTGTAAAATAGATAACTTTTATAATCATGTGATTATACTTTTCTTAGCCGTTTATTTCTTAAAATATATCAATAAAAAAAAAAAGATTTACATTTTTTTATTTCATTTATATCTAAAATGTCTTTAAATTTCTTCGAAAATCTTTCAATCAATTATCTTGAACTTCTTGATGATAATGATTTTAATACTGTTATTAATGTTGGAAAATCTCCAAACTCTAAAATTTTCAAAGCTCATTCAGCAATTCTGAAATGCCGATCTTTATATTTTCGTAATGTATTGGCAAAATCTTGCAAAGATGAAAATAATATAACTACTATCAATTTAAATTATGTCTCAATACAACAATTTGAAATTATTATAAAGTAAGTAAACGTTTTCTAATTATTATTATTATTATTATTCTAAGAAACTTTTTATGTTTAAAATAATGACATTACTAAATTACACAAAGGTATATCTATGGTGGTGTAGTTTTATTGAAAGATTTTGATGCACCCTTCATTTTTAAACTCACGCTTATTGCTTACGAGCTTCTTTTTGAAGAACTAGCTAAGCGTCTTGAAATCCATTTAATTGTAAATAGGGCTTCCTGGCTTCTCTCACAATTTAATCGTATTCACAAAACTTGTTCTCAAAATAACAAGCTTCAAGATTTGTTTAAATGGTGTAATAACATTGTGTCAAAGTATCCAAATATTGATTTTAACTCGGAAGATTCATCCTTTATACAAGAAAACATTCCAGTACCTCTAATTGGGTGTGTTGATTTACAAATGGATGAATATATTGTTTGGGATTATCTTATTAAATGGGGAATGGCTCAAAATTCCAATTTGCCTTCAAATTCTGAGAACTGGTCTCAAGAAAATTTTTTGACAATGAAGATTACTTTACAAAATTGTTTGCATCTTATTAGTTATTTTCAAATTTCTGGTGCTGATATTATTAATAATGTACAACCTTACCAACAGATTCTTGAGGAAAACCTTTGGAAAGATATATTAAAAAGACTAATTACTCCTGTCAACCAATTTTCAATAATTCCTCCTTCGCATCTTAATTTATCTTTAATATCCAGAAATTTTATATCATTTTCAACTGTTATTACTGATGATCATGCTGCTGAAATTTCTTCTTGGATTGATGGTTATAATATCGCTACATACTCTATATCAAACAATCCTTATGATTTTAAATTAATTCTTCGTGGTTCCAGAGATGGCTTTACCACTGCTGCTTTTTGGAATCTATGCAATAAGAAAGCCGATATTGTTGTAGTTATGAAAGTTAAAGGAACTGATGAAATTTTGGGTGGTTATAATCCTATTGGTTGGGATAAATCAGTTGGTTTATTAAGATGTAAGAAAAGTTTTATTTTTTCTTTGAAAAATGGATCTATTCAAAATTCTATTTTAAGTCGGGTAAAAATTTCGCAAAATGAACTTTATTCTATTTATTGTGATTCTAGTACTGGTCCTTGTTTTTATTCTGGTATTTATATGTTAAACAATTATGATCAGAATGGTAAATGTTATTATTATCATAATCCTAATGATATTAGATATGAACGACGGATTAGAAATACTCTTGATAGTAATACTGCGGACTTCTCTGTTGAGGAATATGAAGTATTTCAGATTCATAAAAAGAATTCATGAACTCATAATATTAATTATTTTTTTTTAAGTGATTGTGTTTTTGTTATAATTCCAACTTTTTTATTATAAAATTTTATAAACAAATTATAAAAATGCTATACTCACTAAATAAGCCTAGAAAGAAAAATTTCCTAAGTTTTACATATATAACAAGAAACATGATTTACATTGTTCCATTTTTGAAATTTATTGCAGATGCCGATGATTAATGTTTAAATTTTGATATAATTCGTGTAAAACAAAAATTTTTAAAATTACATAAAGGGTAAGGTAGTATCAGAAATTATAAAGCATTTCAAACCATTGTTTAAAATGATTTTCTCTTAAAAAAGTTTTATTCTTTGTTTTTATAACAAATATAATTTATATATAATGCCTGAAGTTGGGATAACGCCTGGAATTGCAATTTCAAGCGTTTGAAGTTGCATATGACTAAAAATTTAGTTCCTGAAATTAAATCTTGCATCATTAAATAGTAATTTCAGATAAGTACTTCTTTAGGTGTCTGAATTTGCGACTCCAATGAAATGTCTGCCACGAAAACTAATTGCCCAAGTAAATTGAACATATACAGAAACCACACCTTTCATTCTACATATGGTCAACTACCCGGAAAATCGTGAAATAATCCAGAAGTTAACTAGAGTGTATATTTTCGGACTTATAGAAATTAAACCAATTCGTGTAGTACTTTAGGGCTATTTAATATTTTGTTACTTAATTAGCAATTAAAATAACTGCTTACGGCTAGCTTCAATAGTTTATCTCTAAGTGCAGGACTTTGATTTTTAGGCTTATGTATACGATTGCATCTTACAACAGGTTTTTTTTTACTATTATGATATCAGGTAGCTCTCATCAAATGATATCTTTTAACTTAGTTGATCGTTTGTTAGACTATTTAGTAATATATTTATCGTTTTAATACTGTAGTTTATGAAATTTTTGTTTCGAGCTCGTTTTTGCAAAATACTATTCCTGGTGAGTCGACAATGTTAATCCTGATGGGATAAAAAATTATAGTATGTGCGAACCATATAGTCACATCAAATCTCTATTTGTATGCTGATCATTTGTGTGACGAAAATTTCAATTCAAAATTCATAATTTTGTAAGAATATTACTAACTATTACCGGCGGTGACCATCACCGGTTATTTGTAGTAAAAATCTTATCTAAAACTACAAAATTATGAATTTTTTTCCTTTTTTTTTTTTGCAGATTGTGCCTATAGGGATCCTTAACGATTTTAGATATTTTTTTTCTTTATACTATCGACAATCTAGCAGGAGGCTATTTTTGCCTCATTTTTAGCATTACAGTTTAACGATAACCGATCAGATCTTAATATTAAAAAGCCACCGAAATGATCTACACAAATAGGATGAAGTAATGGTTGCTGATTGGCAAACTAATAATAAATCCATGCTTTTCCATATGAGGATACAATAGCAGACACAATTTTATACTATACGTACTGTTATTCTCTTCTACACAAATTTTCATGAATAATGGGAATTCAAGGCTTTTCAAAATGGATAAGGTACGCTACATTATTTTATTCGAATGATTTCATTAAAAATTCACTTTACACATTTTATTAGAAAGCAGTATGATGAATTTGTGTGGCCTGTCAAGGAAGGATTGTATGTGAATTTTTAGCGATTTAGATTATTTTATATAAACATATTCATAACCATAATCTTTCTGTATTAAAAAGCTTTGAAAAAAATCCTACAGCTCGTGTAGATAATTTTTATATCGAAATGAATGAAATTATTCATGAAATTATTCAAAAAAATTTGGGAACAATTGTAGAAGTCAACAAAATTTTTAGTGCAATATGTGACTACGTAAATAAATTAGTTTTAATGGTTAAACCAAAGAAATCAATTTTCATTGTAGTGGATGGTATTTATTTATTTATATTATATTTTGAAATGCGTTAAAAAAAAATTATAAAAACATATTAAATTCTCGTATCTTCTTAAAATAGGGGTTGCTCCAAGAGCCAAGATGAATGAACAACGCAGTAGACGGTTTAAAGCAACATATGAAGGATTTGACACAAACTCTGTTACACCAGGTATATACATTAGCTTTAATATTTATATATATGCATGTACGTACGTACGTGATTTAAAGGCAGAATTATAAAATTACTTGTAGTTTACTATAAATTACTGTAATTTAAGCTATGATAATTTTACAATTCTATATAAAAAGTTTTGAATTTAATTTCTTACACTATAAATAATTAGGAACGATATTTATGGAAAAATTTTCAAGCTATTTTAAAGAATTCATTCGTAACAAAATTAAAAATGATGATACTTGGAAATGTGTAAAAATCATATACTCGGGCCATGACGTGCCAGGCGAAGGAGAACATAAGATAATAAAATACATTCGTAATTCTGAATCAAAATCAGATTGCATCTATGGAAGGGATTCAGATCTAATTTTATTGGGGCTTCTGCATTATAAACCAAATCTTAAAATACTTAGTAGTAATGAATTCTTTTTACCAGGGTTAGTAAGTCTGATTAATATTAACTTATGCCTTTTTATTATATAAAAATCGAGAAAATTACTTACTATAAAATCTTCTAGCACAAACCTAAATCCTTCAAAAACTTTTGAATTAAAGTTCTTAGGAACTTTACGTAAAAAAATAACGGAAGAATTTTCAAAACTTTGGGAACCTAAGCCACTTTCTTTTGAATTTAAAATTGAAAGCATAATAAAGGATTTTATTTTATTGGTACATTTTATGAGTAATGATTTTATACCGATGTTGCCTAATATTAATGGAGGGCTTGATTTTATTATTCCGACTTATAAAGAGATATTAAAAGAAAGTGGTAAGAAAGAAATTGGTTAAAATTTTTATTAGAATGTTTCTATTAATCTAATGAAATTTTTATTAACAGGAGGTTATATTAACGATGCTGGAAGCTTAAATATACGAAGACTCGAAATGATTTTTAAGAAATTGAGCATTTGTGAAAAAGAATTGTTCAAACCAAATAAATTTATTGAAGCAGAAAGTGAGAATGAAGAATTTCTTAGATGGAAACAAAAGTATTATAGGAATAAGAAAATGATTAAAGACGGCCAAGATCAAAAATTTTTAATTAAATCATACATTGAAGGGTTACAATGGGTACTTTATTATTATGAAGGTGAACTAAAATCTTATAGATGGTTTTACCCTGAACATCATTCACCGCTTATATCAGGTAAGTTTCCGATAGGTAGATGATATCAAATGATTATAACTAAGTAGACTTCATTTCAGATTTGGAAGACTTGGAAACTATTAAAATAAAAAATTTTGAGAGTGAAGGTTACTATAAGCCTTTTGAACAACTAATGTTTGTATTGCCTCCTAGGAGTAAAGAGCTTTTACCAGTAGCATACCAGGTATAAATTTCATTTAATACAATTATTATAAATAAAAATTTAAAATTTAACATGATATTATTTAGAACCTAATGTATGACCCTAGAATTATGGAGTTTTATACCGACGAGAATAGAACCGATAACCTTCCATTTATTAACGAACAAACACTATTATCTGTGTTAAGATGTTAGTATATAAATTTAATTGTTTCAATGCTTATCGACACATACTACTATTTTTTATTTACCACAGCTGTAGAAGACAATCTGACAAGTGAAGAAAGACTGAGAAATGTGTTTAGAGACGCAATCATTTTTGAATATGATAATTCAAGCAAAGAAGTCAAAATGAGTGCGTATATTTTGAAACCTTAAACTTATTTAAACTAAAAATATAAAAATTTATTTCGAATAAATATAATAAATATATTTTTTAAGACAATTGCTAATTTTCACCGAGGGGAAATCACTGGGGTGCTATATCTCAAAAGCGTACTAAGTTATTATAATAAAAAAAAAACATTTTTATATTGTGGCACAGACAATTTTATTACCTACAAAATGGTTGGAAGCACGGTATCCAAAAAGCATGCTCATATCATATGATTATAAATATCAATTAGAACACACTGATTGGTTACCATAATGCACTGATTATACTGTAAATATTATACCTATTTTTTGGTGCACCTGGGGACAATATACGGTATTTTGCATAGCGTTTTTCATATTAACACAAACAAGATATTCAGTAAGTTTTAGTGGATATATTGTATTAAACCCGGTTCTTTTTAGTCAATACACTATGGTTCCTCTTTTGTTAATTAGTTGCTCGCGTGCCACATTATTATATATAGGAGCATACCCCCACTGGTAACAGTTAATGCAGTCTGTATATAAAATCATATCGGTAAACTGAATAATATATTATAATTAACTCTGTTGAAACTTTGCTATCCAAAACAATATTAAAATTTTTACCTTAAGGTCACATACGACCGTTATGGCAGAAATAGCTCGGCAGCCATTATCTGATCCACATTTAACACTGGTCATGTGTACCGTACAGTACTCCTTGACTATAAATAGTTAAATTAATTGATCGCACGTGGCATACTTCACGTTACTGTATTGCAATTGCATAACGAATGATAAAAAAAGCGATCGACTAAAAAAAGATAAATAAAAAAATATAGTTATATTTGACTATACCACAAAATTAGTTGAATCGAACGCAAACACATGTAAACTGAAAATTGAAATTATCGAAAGAACAAATATGTAAACTCTATTACGAATGACTAATGTTTCATTCGCATAATCACGTCATTAAGAATGTTAAATGTCCAAAATTTCTCAAGATTTTCTTGAGAATTACAAGAGTTTATTTTTTTTGACTTATGTTTTTATATTTAACTAGCACATAATTTTTGGATGCTCAAAATTGTACTGTCTAACAAGTGCCAATCTTTTATTAATTAAATACTAGCCACAAGGTGTGTCTTACGTCTAGTCGAATAATAGAACCTTATGTATTAGTGTTACGAAATACATTGTTTTATAATACAACCTGTCATGATATGAAAATTAAAAAAAAAAACTAAAATTTAGTGAATATTTTTTTATTCCCTGTTTTTATGCTCAATATGAGAAGCTTAAATATTCATAATGATGCTTGGATTTTTATCACCATAATTTTTATAGTATTAATGAACAGTCATATAACTTATGCTAATAATTATAATGAAATTACATTTTCAGTTTCAGAATACGGATTTCCACAAAGTGTAAATCAATATAGAGATGGTACACTTCTGATAACCGCAAATAAAGATAGATATGGTTATTCTACGTATAATATCTATCTTCTTTTTACAAATGGAAGCATAGTTAAGGTTGTTGATTATCTCAATTATGGTAGTTTTTTTCTGAATAATTTGAAAATTATATTTTAGTAGGACGTGTTATAATGATTCGTATAATGGAAGTGTTATAGATTGGCATGGCATAGAAACAAGGTACCGGATAAGTGCAGTCAAAATATTAATAATTCCAACCATTTCAGAAATTCAAACTAATATTTCAAAAAATTTGTTGCCTCAACAATTTAACTTTAATTATCAAGATTTTGATTACCTAATTAATGAGATTGTTGATGTAATTAATTGTTTGGAATATAAATTTTCAAAATTTGGTGCCCTACTTCTGAATATTGCGATAATAATTCTCAAAACTTTGTAGGAATTTATGAGTAACTATCTATTTTGTTTTTTCATTACATTTGCAATATTTATATATTTAAATAGTCAAAATGTTTCCGAATTACATGATGAATTTATCTGTGGAGTAACGATATTTCCATCTCTATGCGCATCATCAACGATAAATAAAAATGGAGAGTTTATGACAGCTTGGATAAATTCATCATTTGTGTCTTGGTCTAAATATAAAATTTCGTAAGTATTAAGTTATTGTCCACTTCGTAGATATGTTATTTATTTTCTTATGAAATGACCCTATTAAATTATTATTCACTATAGGCAATCTGATGGCATCGTGACTCTAGTATCGAATGGCAGCATCAATGCAGCAAATGGATATAGTATTTCAACTTTATCTGTATTTGACACAATAGATGGCTATCATGCTATTGTTTATGTTGAACAAAATGAAACATATTTTGATACTTATGGTTGGAGAAACAATGCTTTTTTTAAAAATTCAAGTTTATTGTTTTATCCTGATGATCCAATTTTACTTTTATATGTACATATCGTTAAAGATGAGTTGGAACAATCAACAGAACAAAGTTTACTTTTCTCATCTTCTGAAAGATTACTTTCTGGAGCTTATCAACTTTATTGCAAAGCAGGTTTTACCTCATCTGATTTCCAAAGTAATGTTTGCACTGTGTATTTAAATTATGAGAGTAATTATACTAAATATGAAAGAAAAATTGAACTAAAATATATTACATTTTCAACGTCCGGATCTGTCATTAGAATAGGAACACTTTCAAAAACTATAATAGACTATTATGATAAAGCTACTATTTTTCCGTTAAAATATGGTGGTTTTTTTTCAATCAATGATAATTCTAGTAGTTCTATTCTCGATGATCGATGTGAAATCTATGATGTAAATGGAACATTTGATTCTTTCTGGGATATACCACTAAATTTAACTACAAATAAATAGATAGTTGATGTCGGAGTCTATGATAATAATACAGCTTGGTTTGTTTTGATTTATGATACCAGGTCAACCAAATCCGAGCAACTGGTCTATTTTCACAACAAATATTAAAAATTTTACAATGATTGTAAGTTCTCTCTTGACCTTTTTTCCTTTTTTTAAAAAATCTTTTCATTAAATGTTAATGCTATATAATTATTTAGCTGGTTGAATAACCAAGCAATTTCATCTACACAGCCGGCAATCAATGCGGTATTGCCTCTTTATTTGATGGATAATATTAACATCACACTAATTAATAAAATTATGCTTTCAACTGGAAACATTTCGATCTATCAAATTATAAGCGAAAATAATTATTTATTACGTCAATCTTATGAGGCTTCAACTAATTGTGAAATACTTAATAATTTTCTTACATTGTCATGCAAGGTCTTTAAAAGTACATTCAGTAGAATAAATAGTACATATATTATTAGCGCAGATAATAACTTTGTTAAAGCATTATCTTATGAAGAACCATTGAATGGAATTGAACAAAATGTTTGGCATGTGAAGACATCTCAATGTATTTATTGTCATTTATTTTACATAATTTTTATATGAAAAATATCTTATTAATTGTGACGGCTGAGGCTGAATTTGGCTGATGCTGAATATCACGTGATGTTTCGGCCGGAAATTGCAGATCGTGTCACGTATCGATCATGCCGTACGTACCATTCGGCCCGGAAATTGCAGACTAGATTTCAAAAATTGCCTAACCATATCGTAAGCACTAAATGAACTTAAGATTTTTTGTGTACCACAGAAAATCGCTTTTTATCATGTAATTTATTGCAATAAAGTTATACGATGCTAAAAATGCTAAAAACATTGATATCTAAGTCTTAATGCTGACCCTAACCTAACTCTAATGCCGGTATTACCTCGTTTTTTTTTTGTCATTTTTTTCATTCGACTCTAGTTTTACTTTCCCCTCTGATTTCTTACAATTTTATTTTCTTTGATCCCTCTTCTTCGATTCTCTTTTTTTCCAGCTCTTTTTTTTTTTGATTCCCTTTCTCTCTTCGATTCTCTTTCTTTTTTTCGATTTCCTTAACTTCATTGTCTTCCTTTTTTCTTCGTTCCCTTTCTTTACCTTTTTCCGGTTCCTTTTTTTTTTGCTTCGCTTTTCTTCGATTTTCTTGACTTGATTTTTTTCAATTCCTTTATCTCGCATCATCTTCCTTTTTTTTTTCATTTTCTTCAATTCTCTTTTCGATTACCTTTCTTTTTTTTCTTTTTTTTCTTTTTTCACCCTTTTTTTTTTCAAATTTTTTTTTTTTCATTTAGATGGCTTTGATCCTATTAACAGGAACTCGGATCTCCTTGTTATCTACTTCTATAATTGCTATGCGATTGTTGGATGTCAATGCTTTGAACACACCCTGTTGTGAAAATGTTGGCTGAAGCTTTCGCTTTCGTGTTTTTTGGTTCGTATCATAATCCAGCACAATAGCAACCATGGTCCCGGCTTCAATTGTATTGTTTGGCGACTTTTTTTTATGAACGCTGCCCTTCTTACACATCTTATCCCGAGATTTCTCTAGTGATGCACTAACGGATTGTTGAATTTGCAATACGCGTAAGATATGTTGGTCAACAATCTCAGGCGTGATATCAACATCATTGCAGTTAATCTCCTTAGGAATATTTTGTAATATTTCAGGGGTATCATAAACAAAGCACATTTTCTAACCAAATATCACCTGGTGTGGTGTACAAACCATGTGCTTCGTGTGTGGAGGAATAACAAAGGTATCAACAACATTAACCCAGTCCTTCCATTGTAGTTAACTATTTTTATCCTATAGCATTTTAGTAAAACCACGATCAACAGTCTGGTTAAGACGTTCAACCTGGCCATGCGATTGTGGGTGACGAGGATGACCATGTCTGATAGTAATACCCAAAGTCCCACATATTTGGGTGAGGATTGTCACGACAAACTCCTTGCTGTTGTTACTTTGAAGAATCGTGGAGGGCCCAGAATCTTAAAAACATCCTTTACAAGGTGACTTGCAACTGTATTCGACTCGTTGTTTTTTAGAGAGACAGCTACAAGAAATTTTGAAAACATACAAATGCATATAAGTAACTATGCAAAACCATCATTCATCTCCGTGTAGTCACAAAAGTCCACAAGATCAATCTGAACATGTTCTCACGGTGCTGCAGATACTACCGGCATCAGATCAGTCTTTTCTTTAAGGTAAGTGCTCACTGTACAAGAGGCACATTCATTGACATACACTTAAACTTCTTCTTGCATAATTCCAATATAGTGTTCTGAAATAGCAGCGAAAGTCTTGTGATAGTTACGGTGGTTTGCTTGATCATGAAAACGCTGTAATATCTGGGTGCACAATTCTTGGTCATACCTAGGGACCACCCAGCATCTTTTAAATATAACGCCATTCTTCATAATAGTGGGAGTGTATAAGGCTCTATTTTTGTCTAACACAAATTTTGCGCATCGATGAATAAAGTTTGTTTTGGCATACTTTTTCAGAACATCTTTAGGTATCATTTTTGAGTGAAGATATTTCACTATCATTTGGTATTTAGCTTTTGTCTCAGGGATTTTTGGGATTGCCAGCATAAGTCAATAAAAAAAAAATTTTTTCAAAAAAAAAAAAAATAAAAATAAAAATAAAAAAAAAACCCACAGAAGAAACTCTTGCTAAAAAACAGGTTGGACAAAAAAAAAAACTTAAAACCCGCTAAAAAGAAAAAATTGCAAGAAAAAAAAACTTGCTAAAAAACAGGTCAGTCAAAAAAAAAAACTTGGTCATTGGATAATTAAAAGCGCAGTATGTGGGCGAACATAAAAAAAAAGAATTTTTATGCACAACATGCATAACAAAACAATGATATACATTGTTGTATTGTGCAATTTCCAGCCCGAATGATATGTACAGCATGATCGATACGTGACATGATTTGCAATTTCTAGCCTGAAACTTTACGTGATATTTAGCATCAGCCAAATTCAGCTTCAGCTATCTTGGTTTTGTGTTTGTTAATTCTTGTATTAGAGGCCTTTTCATAGGTATTAAAAAGCTTCTAAACCTCTAACCAGTCTAAGAGAGAACCAATTCCTACAGTAAGGTTATCTGTATAGGCCACTATCTTAAAGAAGATATTGTTAATTGGGATGCCTCTATTCTTGGAGTTTATTGATTAAATTAATAAGTCAAAGGCCAAAACATATAGAAGGGAGGAGAGAGGGTCTCCTTGCTAAACCTCTCTTTCAACTCTAAATAGTTCTGACAAAGAACTTCTTTCAAAGATGTGAGCTACCTGGTTTGTAAAAAGATTCTTAACTAAATTTGTGAATTTTGAGCAGAAGTTCATTTTTGAAAGAACCATTTGTAGAAATCTGTTATTGATTCTGTCAAATGCTTTTTTGTTGGTCTACTAGAAGTAGCCAATAATGTTTTGAAATATCTGATTAATTTTCATAGTTGTGAGGACATCTAGTACTGCATCTAAGATTGATCTTTTTGTGATGAAGCCCTGTTGGTTTGCTGGGATAACTGAGTTACAAATTTTGTTTAGCCGGCATGCAATAATCTTCATAAAAATTTTGGCATCACAGTTTACTAAGAAGATAGGTCTCCAGTTGTTCAGATTGCTCAGGTCTGAGGATTTCTTTGGGATAAAAGTAATTAGATTTTTGTACCATGATTCAAGCAGAAGGCCAGAGCTTAGGGCCTGCTTAAAGATAATTTCTAGAGCTGAGGATATGTATTTCTCTGTTAACTTGTAAAATTCATATATTAACACATCTAAGCCTGGAGATTTGTTGTTGGGAAGGCTTATAATTGTGCTATAATTTTTTTCTTTGTGATAGCCTTAAAGAGTTCAATATTGTCTTGTTAAGAAATAGAAAGGGTGTGTCTATGATTGATTCTGCTACTACTAGGTCTATATCTTCTTCTTTGTAGATCTTTGCATATTGTTCTTTTATATAGTATAGAGTTTGATCTTCTTTGCTTTGTATATTTGTTTTTGGTATTCTGATATCCTTTAGCACTATATTACTGCTTTGTGTTTTGAAGCAAGAAAAGAAGTATCTGGTAAATTTTTCTTCTAATTTTATCTAATTGGCCTTTGAGCGAGTCAGCCATCTGTCAGCTAATTGAAAATGATTCTCTTAGATTTGAATATTAAGATCATTAATTCTTGTATGTAGAACCATTTGTTTTGGGTTTGTTGCTAGTATATTTTTTAGCTTTGTTATCTTTTTGTTTAGTGATTTTATTTTACTTTTAGGAGCTTTAGGTTTTCTGAAGGCTCTTATAATTGATTGTATGCAGACCTTGTGCCAATCCCATTCTATAGCTGAGCTGACTGATTTGAGTTCCTCAATGATCTCTTTTTCTAGTAACTTATTCTCAAAAGCATTCTTATCAAATCTCCAGCTAGATGCTTTTCTTGCCTCACTTTCTAATATGAGAGTGTATTTAACTAACAAGTGATCAGAGTTTCCATAGAGAGTCTTAGTTTTTGTGATTAGGAAATCTTAATTTTTATCTATAAAAATATAGTCTAGATATGTAGCAATTGTTTGGCTATTTTTTGTATTTTGGTAAAAGGTGAGAAAGGGGTTTTCTTCTACAAAGATTGCAGAGTTTAGAAAGTTGTTTGTTAATCTTTTAAGTTGTGCTCTTGAGGGGTCACTGTGTGGGCAGGCTTGGCTTATTCTATTTAATGTAGAATCTAAATTTGTGTTAAAATCTCTTGCAATAATGTTTATTTTGTTCTCATCTACTAGAGAAGTCTAGTTTTCAAAAAAAATTGTTTTTTCTCTTATACTTAGAGGAGCATATATGTTTGTGATCTTGAAGTAATGTTTTCTATATATTAAGTCTAGTATAATGACTCTGCTCTTGTGAGAAGTTTGAGAGTTTTGGAGTTTTATGTCTTTTTTGACTGCTAGTATTGCAATTTTGTTAGTCAAAATTGAGTCAAATAGCCATTGTAGTTTTAAAAAGTTGTGAGAGTTTGGATTATTAAGATTTGTTTCTTGGAGAAAAATTATATCCAGTTTGTAAGATTTGATTAAAGTTAAAGTCTTTTATTGTTTTTCTCAGTTGTTTAGCCCTTTTACATTTAGTGTAGCTATTAGTATCTTTGGGCTTACTATTATGAATTAACGAGTAGTTTGTTTAATAGGAGGCTGGTTTGTGCCCTTTTTTGCCCTTCTTATACGGGGTCAACGCTATAATTTCTTAATTTGACTAACTTTTAGAGGTCCTTTTATTGTTTTTCTTCTTGTTGGTTACTGTTATAAAGCCTTTGTTATCAATGTTAGAGTGGGTATTTTCTTTTTCATTTGTGTTAAGGTTTTGTAAAACAAAGATTTGTACTAGGTTGGCCATTGTAAGCTCATTTCTTGGTAGCTGGTTATGTAACAAATGGTCCATGTCTTTTTTTTGTATGGGTATTGGCTCTAGAGCTTTTGAATTGTCTTTGACTTCTTTTTCTTTAGCAGTAGTTGGCCCTGTGTTTGCTATTTCTAAGTTGGTTTCAGTTGGGTCTTTAATGATTTCTTCTGAGCTCTCTTTGTTGTCAAAGGTAGGTACAGCATTTTCTTGTAATTGCTCCTCTTGTATATTTATCTCTTGAGGTTTAATTAGTAAGATAGATTTGGGTACTTCTTGAGGTAATTCAGTGATAGATCTAGTCTTTCTGGCCTTTTTAACCTCCTCTCTAAATTTGCGATAACGATTTCAAAGTCTGATTGATTCTTGAAGTTATTTATACTCTTTTTTAATATGTCCTTCTTAGTCACAAAAGAAGCAAACTTTTGGGGCAGATTTTCACTCAGTGGTGACCTTGTTATTGCCAACCTGTATAAAGTGTAAGATTTTGCATTCTAGATCTGGGTTATCAGTATTTTCAAAGATGATAAACCATTGATCTGTTAAGTAAGGAGTGCCTTCAATCAATAGAAGTTTGATTGAGGAAATTTTACTTATGTCTTCAAAAGCTTTTTTGATATATTCAGTAATTTGATTTTTGTCACCTAAAGAGACATTCCTAATTTTGGCTAGTAAAAAGGACTTGGGAGCATCTGTTGGAATATAGCCATAGTAGGTTTTATTAAGAATTACAACTCCTTTTTCTGCGTATTCTTTGAGTAGCTTATGATTTGCAAAGATAATTTCTAACTATGAGCAAGAGCCTTTTTTGAAATGTTGCTTGGCTGTGATAACTTTGCCTCTAACATTTTCAAAAAGAGAAAACATGATCTCATTGAAGGAGCAATAGATCCTTGAGATATCAATAATAAGTGCGTTGTTATACTTAGATTTGATTTGTTCTCTTGGAGAGAATATAGAATAAGTAAATTGGCCTTGTCTTAGTTTTGAAAAGAGATTAGACTATTGCTTGAATAGTACTTTATTCTGGGTGGTTGCTTGTCTCAAATCATTGGTTAGTATATGTGAATAGGGGTTCTGAGTAGGCTCGGGTATCTTAGGTGATGTGTTTATCTAACTTGATATTCTAGAATTTTCTAGATCTTTTTCAGATACATGTGTTTCTTTGTTGTTTTGTTTATTTGGGTTAGTTTCTTGGAGAGATGTGTTTGTAGTTAGCCAAAGGTTTTCTTGAAAAACTAAGTCATTCTAGCTTTCCTTGTCACTTGTTGGGTTTTTTTCTTTTGTATTTTTTGTAGTTTCTGTGAGGGGAGGGGCTAATTTTAAATTAAACTGTGTATATTGAGGACTAGAAGGGTCTCTTCTATTAACCTTCTTATAAGCTGGGTCCATCTTTTTGTGTCTTTTAAGCGATTGTTTGTAAAGTATAAGTTCTGTGTTTTTTTTATGGCAGGAACAAGGACTTTAGCTCTTGTTGTTGTTGGTTTGATGAGGTTTTTCTCCTTTGGTGTGGTAGATATTTTGTCTTGTTTATTTTGACCTCTTCCTGTCAAATGTGTACAGAAGAGAGTTACTATAGATCCTTTTTTTATATATTTTAGAATGAAGTATACTAATAAAAAATTTTTTAGTTAAATGAAATATACAATATATAAATAACAAATTTAGTACAGATTATAGTCAAGAATATGCATATAAAATTTTAGCACAAATAGACAAATATTTGCAGAATGATGCCAGATTTTGATAAAGCACTTTCATATAAGCTTTGCATATCAAAATGTCTATATAATATAATTCATCAAATATTTTAAAATTTTATTAGTAAAATAACAAAAGTAATTCTATGAAACTAGCATTGTTTTACAACTTTTATTAATAACATAAAAGTGATTATCTTAATAAATTTTTGTGTAAAACTATTTTAATTCTAATAGCATTTTTTTTAAACCATTTTTCTTTAGTGTAGTAGAACTTTCTAGAATTTTTTTTTTACTGTAATTGGTTATTATGAGTTACAAATTTATAAAAATAGATTCAATTAGAGTATGGTTGGAATTATGGTTTGTTATATGAATAACTATTATTTTTTATAAAAAATAAAGCATTTTCAACATTTAGTAATATAAGTTTTTTTAATCAAAAAAGTATAAATAGGGCTATTTTGACTTGCATTAGAATATTGTTGAACCATTTATCTTAATTTTAAAATTAATTTCCAAACAGCATTTCATTATTTTAACTTTATATTATATGAACACTTAGACACTTTTCTTGTATATATTTCTAAACTTTTTAAAACAAAAGTATATAAGTTTAAAAAATTATATTTCAAGTTTGAACCCAACAATAATTTAACTCTACCTGGTTGATATCATGTACAAGGATGGTCTGAATTTTATAATAATTCAAAGTAACAAGTTGGTCATTGGAATTGTGACAAGCAAACTGGAATAAAAAAATTTTTTCAAGCAAATATTCATATTCACTATTCTAATACTACAAAAGAACAATATTTTGCATATATAAATAGAGATTTTGAGCAATGCAAGAATCCATGCTGTTAATCATGTTTATATGACTATAAAAATCAATTACATAGATATGCAAATTGCACTCCTAATTATAATTGTTCATCTACAAGAATGTTAGAGTTTCCTGAAACATACTATTTTATTTATGATAAAACAAAAATTGATGAATATAATACTCAAGCTACAAATAAGCTTATGGAAGATTTAATTGAAAATAATTTATCCAGAGATGAGGCAATTGTTAAATATGCTCAAAACTTTTCAAAAGTATAGACAAATAATCAAAAAAATATATATATTGTTCATAATGCAGTTAAAAATATAAAAAAAAAGAAAACCCAGTTAGAAAGATTTTGGCATCCAGTAACATTTTATTTTTATGGAGAGGGTGGTGCAGGCAAATCAAATCTTGTTCAGAAGCTATTTCAGTCAGAGTTGTATCCTAAATCTAAAAAGCAAAAAAATGAGTCTTCGTGGTGGGTTGGTTATCAAGGTCATTCTATAGTTTTTTTTGATAAATGGTATACATATATTGATTGAAATTCTATTGTAAAATATTTGAATAATACTCCAGAAACTGTTGAAATAAAAGAGAAATAATTTGCTCTCTTTTTAGCTAAATATATATTTTCATGACTTTTTATAAACTGCAGAAGAAGCTTTTAATTTTGATCAAAAAAATATAGATGATGAAACATCTGCACAATGTGACTGAAAACAATTTAAATGATGACTTGATTTTATAATTGAATTCAAAAGTGATTGGCATGATGATATTGAAAAACATATAATACAACTCATCTTTCATAAAGATTCAAAATCTGATTTTTGTGGTATGATTTGGGATCTCAAATATGATAAATGCAAATATACTACTGAAAATCTTAAAAAAATTGTTCAAGAGCTTAATAAAGATAAACCAGAAGAAGTTATAATCAAAAATAATCAAGTTTATTGCATCAAATTTTTTCTGAATATAAAAAAAAATATTTATGAGATTATCTATATTGTAAAGAATTATCTGATTATAAACAACAAATACATGCAAAAGTTGAATCAGATGATGAAATAGATCTTAATTATGATTTAGATTTACTTAAATCAAAAGATCAACATTTTGAAATTGACAATGATATAGAAATTGAATTATCTGAATTTGATTTAGATGACAGTGAATATTCTTCTCAACAAAAAAAAAGAAAATTTACTTCAGTTCAAAAAAATAATCAAGTAATTAAAAAAAACAAAATTTAATATTAGTCTTTATTAATTAGATAATCAAAATTATTTTAGTTTAAATAAACATTAAATTTTTATATATTCTTATACTTTTTTTTATTATCATTATTAATTTAAATTGTATTTATTTTTTTTATATAAATAAAATTATTAAACATTATTTATATCTTTATAAAATGGCATCTGGCTCACAAATTAATCTTAATAATGATAAGTTTTAAACCCTTCTATAATTTCTAGAAATAAAGCAGCAATACAGGTTCACAAAGAAAGAACATAATACTTATTCATTATCACGTACAAATTACTTCATTCACATTAATCATTTCATTCAGATTGTGAGTATAAGGATTTAATAGTTTTTATAATAAAAACGGCAAAGAACAATTTCATAAAGCAGAAAGATAAATACTTATTTGGCATTATGTATAATTAATTTCATTGGATTAATTTAGTCTGTGAGCATGAGGATCATTTAATAATTTCTAGAAATAAAATACTTATTTTACCATTATATTAGAAACTTTACGCTCCATTACTAATCTAATTACAAATCAAATTTGTTATTTGCTTTCAAACATCTTATTGACTAAATCATTCTTACAATTTGAAATTTTTAAATTATTATCACGGTGGTGCTCATTTCACCGACATGTTTTTTTTACCAACGATTACAGCTGTTTTCATAAATTCTGGGCACCTAAAAATTTACTCGTTTCCAAAACTTCACCGATCTCGTTCTAAGAATCGCCAGTTTTCGAAAAGTTAGATAATTCTTAGAACAAGATCGATGAGGTTTCAGTAAACGAGCAAATTTTAGATGTCCCAGAATTTATAAAAGCAGCTGTAATTCACCAGCAAGTTTATTTCAGTTTATTTCACCGACACTCTCATTTCACAAACAAAGTATACATTGTTGTTGGGGTCAGATTTATAATTAGAGTTAAGGTTAGTGTGATTTATAAAAAAACTCGCCGGTAAATGAGCTGTTGGTGACTAAACAGCTAAATGTCAGTGAAATTATTGTGAAATGTCGATGAAATTATTATCGGTGAAATAACACGGATCCTTATTATCATACACTAATTAACTTATTAACTTTCAATTGACCGTAATTTCAAATGTAAATTTGAAATATCAATAACTCCGAAATTGCAAGAATATTGCTAGTTTGTTCGATGATTTCTGATGGAGTAAATTTCTTAATTGTTTGGTAGAGAAAGTTCTTTATGTTTGACGGTAAAATTTCTTAAATGCTTGATGATAATAGCTCTTAAGTATTTTTTGGTAGCAATTCTTGAATGTTTGAGGAAATTCTTGAACGTTTGGTAGTACTTGATAGGTGATTTATTATGATACAATTTCATTGTTGTTATTAATAGCTAAATTGATCTTATGTTAATTTTATTAAATTATATTATTTTCGCTTTAATTATTATATAATTCTAAATTTAATTATGATATATATAATTATTTTAATTATTAAAACTAAAAAATAATTTTTGAATTAAATTTAATTATACACACAACAACACATCAGTGCCGATTGGCCTAACCTACACTAACACCGGGTAGATTAGTGTGGCAGAAACGATCCTTGGTCCTGTGATTTCGATTCAATAAAACTCAGAATACGTATTAAACTTAATCATTAGATTATGAAATTTTCACGTGAATTCTCCGTTTCTGCTACCACTAATCCATATTCTCACCTTAATTTTAGCAAGAATGCACCTGTGACACAACATACATACTATATATTTTAGTACGTGTATGGAGAATGGACTAGAAAAACCATCGCCACTGTTCGAGAGTAGTTTTAGTTTTAGGAAAATTGTGATTGAATATTTGTATAAATTCCAGATTTGATTTATTTTTCGGTATTGTGCGTACATATGTACTTCACTTGCCTTTTAAGAAACACTGGTATAATTCATCGTATTTTCACGATATAACACATAAGGGTGTAATTTCAAAATTTTTGGCCCAAATTAAATTTAATTCGGGCTATTATTCTAAATAACGCTCATAAACGTTATTACACAAAAATACAGTATGGTTTCCACACCTAACCAGTCTCGTAGCTTTCTAAGCAAGTACCGTATTCCTCCGAAAATATGCACACCCATTTTGCTATAAGGTTGTTTATTTTCGAGTATAATCTCAACCAATAATTTGCATGATTTGATATTTAGTTATATTTCTATTATATGAGAGATGCTTAATTTCGAGTATATATATATGAATTGTAGGGGGTGCTTATTTTCGGAGGAATACGGTAATTATAATAGATTATCTTGAGTTTTATTTTGTTTAATTTCACTTGCGTAACTATTAAAATATGAACTTTTCCTATTTTTTGCAACTTATGATACAAATATAGCTAGGGATGGCTTGCATTTATTTGAGTGTATTTTGCATGCATAACGGGAGGCTTAT